CCATGGATCCCATCAAACAACACACAGTGTGTTCTGTGGGACTCTTTTTCAGCAGTGTGTAGAAATGAATGGGTTTGAAAGATGGGCCAGAATTGACTCCACTTATCTCCCTGTGCTTGGAAACATTTAGAAATGGTGCATTTGCCCATTTTCAATTCATTTGGTGACATTTTAGTGTAGGGGTGCATGTGGGCAGTTCTTCGTGCTCCTCAATGCTCTTTCTGCTCCTATTACTCTTCAGACACAGAAAAAGACTGGATAATAATTTTATCCTCTTTAAAACATTGGTGCTGTAACTGTACAATTTCAGACTTTTGTAATTCTGCAATTGCATTTTTAAAAAAAAATCCGGTGATGCGGGCACTTTGCAGATGATGGAATGGGAGGAGACAACAGCTACCTCCTCCCATTATTCCATTGTCTGTAGAGTGCACAAATGTTGCTTTTTCCCCATTTTTTTAAAAAATGTGCAATTGCAGGATTTTAAAGCTTTGGGATTGTGCTGTTATAGCAACATTCTTTTTTTTTTAAAAAGGGATAGATGTGTGATAAGGAATGAAGCATGTGGTTTATATAGAAATGTCTACTCCCTCTGAGTGATGGTGGTAAGTAAATTCTCCAACTTCTTTAAAGACAGGACACCACAGACCACGATGGGAAGAAGATCTTCCACCCCTCCCCAATTGTGTGATGAAGTCCTTAATATGCTTGCAATGTTCTCATCTTCCATGTTTGTTCAAGCAAACAAGCCACCTTATCGTTTGTTCAGTGCTTGACATTCTTCCTTTGATTTCAAACTAGTCATCCATCAGAAGCCAGGAAGGATTTTTTCCATGCTATTATAGAATGGGTTTCCTCATTTCCCAAGGGCCTTTTTGTATGTCTAAAATCAAATAAAATGAAATTCAACAGAAACAAATGTAAAGTTTTACATTTACATTCATGCTATTTGATGTCTTTGTCACCCTTATAATATTTAGCTATAACCCTGTATTTAACTTTCCGTAATAGTTGTTCCAAGTCTATTCTCTTCTAGTGATTGCCTATCATCTACATATTTTACATTGTATGTGATCCTTCTCCCAATTGTCATATATCCTTTCCCAAATTAGCTCCATCTTCATGAGATGCCCAGCATATAACTTGAACATATAGGGGAATATAATGCAGCATTGTCTGAATTCTTGCCAATCTGTTTTTCCAATTCTGTCCAGACATTGCCTTTTGTTCAGATGATAGGTTACGTACCAAGGTAATCAAATGTTGTGGCACACCCATTTCTTCTAAAGCATAATTTCTTGTGATTTACACAGTGAAGCATTTTGTTGTGACTTATAAAGCTTAGGTTGATTTGATTCTGAATTCTTTAGAGTTCTTCATTAGACCACATATGTTTGCAGTATTGTCTGTAGTACTCCTTTCTTTTCTGATTCCAGCCTTAGTTTCTAGTTTTTCTCACTCCATATATATTTATTAAAATTAGCCAAGCTGTACCCATGTTGACTGTTAAACAAAACACCAAATTTGAAAGCACACATTGGTGGCACTTTTATTAGACCAGTCAGAGGGATCAAAAGCTCTAGCTTTCAAAACTGGCTTTTACGTAGGCTGTTGTTCTAATTTAGTGCAAAGTGGTTTATGCTTGAAATTAATTAAAATCAATACCAAAAAAGAGAACCTCCAGCTTGTATTAATTTTATGTGGCTGGGAGTGGGGGGAGGGGGGAGAATTGACTAAATAACCTTGAGGCATTGTTCTATTATCTTGTGTGACTAAAAAGCATCCACTAGTCTTAAAAAACTTTTTATATTACATAATGATAAGCATATGTAAAACTTTTAATGACATTCGTTGAAAGTATGACTTAAAAACATTATTTGACTAAATTAAAACCACACCTTTTTCTTTGTGAAATCCCTTAGTAACTGTTTTGACTTATGGGAAAAACATATTTTTTGCTTCCCGCAGAATATATTCTCCATTACCTCCTTGTGCTTCATTTAATTCAGAATCACTACAGACTCTTCCAGAACATTCAAATGACTTGCCATAAAGGATTGAGCCATCAATGTGAATAATTAGCATAAAGATGTATCTTCAGAAATGTGTTTATGTTGGCTCTTTTTTCATTACAATGGTAGCTGATAGTCATAAAATATTGTTGAGATCTTTTATATCATGTTATTGCTATAATATGAAGTTCAACAGTGACAAATGCAAGATACTCCACTTTGGCAGGAAAAACGAAATGCAAAGATACAGAATGGGGGATGCCTGGCTCGAGAGCAGTACGTGTGAAAAAGATCTTGGAGTCCTCGTGGACAACAAGTTAAACATGAGCCAACAATGTGATGTGGCGGCAAAAAAAGCCAATGGGATTTTGGCCTGCATCAATAGGAGCATATTGTCTAGATCTAGGGAAGTAATGCTACCCCTCTATTCTGCTTTGGTTAGACCACACCTGGAATATTGTGTCCAATTCTGGGCACCACAATTCAAGAGAGATATTGACAAGCTGGAATGTGTCCAGAGGAGGGCGACTAAAATGATCAAGGGTCTGGAGAACAAGCCCTATGAGGAGTGGCTTAAGGAGCTTGGCATGTTTAGCCTGAAGAAGAGAAGGCTGAGAGGAGATATGATAGCCATGTATAAATATGTGAGAGGAAGCCACAGGGAGGAGGGAGCAAGCTTGTTTTCTGCTTCCTTGGAGACTAGGACGCAATGGAACAATGGCTTCAAACTACAAGAGGAGAGATTCCATCTGAACATGAGGAAGAACTTCCTGACTGTGAGAGCCGTTCAGCAGTGGAACTCTCTGCCCCGGAGTGTGGTGGAGGCTCCTTCTTTGGAAGCTTTTAAACAGAGGCTGGATGGCCATCTGTCAGGGGTGATTTGAATGCATATTCCTGCTTCTTGGCAGGGGGTTGGACTGGATGGCCCATGAGGTCTCTTCCAACTCTTTGATTCTATGATTCTATGATTCTAATATAGCACAATAAATGTTTCTATGCTAAAGGAGCTACCATAAGTTGACAGCTGTAGAACAAAATTAGAATATTGTGAAATTATTTTCTTCCAATACCAAGCTATTGACGTTCATTCTTAATTCTTTTTTTAAAAGTATATGTGCCGGCCTGTGCTATCATGCTCAACAATAAGGTATTTTCATTTTGTAGCTACCTAGCTCAGCAATCTGCAAATATGTGATTTAATGTTTTTCAGCCTTGTCTCCACCTGAAGTGTTTTCATGTAAACTACAGAATTGTCCAATTTATTTCTTCAGAAGAGCACAGCTCGGAAATAAATAGTTTCAAAAAACACTTACTTGAAGTTAAGTTCGTTATCCAAAAAAGTAGAATTCCATTTAATTATGATTGCAACTTGAGTAAATTCAAGCTTTTTTATAGCCATAAAGTTTAATTATTTTTATAGTAATGGGATGGTAACTATCTGGGTCGGTTGCTGGTTTATACAGTGTCTTGTAGTACTCCTGCACATGTTATTGTAAATTGTACCATAAGTCAGCCACTTGTACCATTCAAATATTTTTCAAAGAAATAATTACTTTTTCCTTTCAAGAAACAGCAAAGTTACTTTTTAAAAGGAAAAATTGATTTTCCTGGTCCGGCAAAGTCTGTAGCTGACAGGCCAGTTGAAAGCTGGCCCTAAGTATTCCAGTCTGCAGAGATGGATCTAGTTTACTCCAAGCTGTACTCCATTCCCATTCAAGTCAGATTGGTTGCTCAGTTCCCAGACTACAGAGCATTCGCTCCAAAGAGACTTCATCTCACTGGACTTCAGCATCAGTTTATTGGCTTTCAATCACCTCATCACAACACTGATTTCGCATCTGCACAGCTCTAGCTGACTCTGATTCCACAAGGAAAATTAGATTTGAACATCTTTCTTGTGCTGATGGTATTCAACTGCATTTTTTGTTATGATCTCACCCAGTGGCTTAATAGATATTAAAGTGTGGGAGTCAAGATGGAACCCTGTGGAACCCCACAATATAAAAGCCATGGGGTTCAACTGCAGCCATCCCTTGCAACTCTGGAAGTGGTCATATAGGTAGGAAGAGAACCACTTTCAGTGACTTCCACTCCCATCAGAACTGAGTCCATCCAGTAAGATGCCATGACCAATGTTGTCAAAAGCTGCAGTGAAATCCTAGAATATTAATTGGGCGGCAGTTCCTCATTTTACATAGGATATGAAGGCTGTTTTGGGGGCTTGAAGTATTGCATAAATAAATCCAAATAATCTGCTTCTTAAAGCAAATTGCCAGACATAACACATTACAGCTCTTTGACCCTGAAGGGCACATGAACAAGAGGGTGATAGTTGTGACATACCTGTAGGTCCTGTGAAAGGGAGTGTATTACAAACTCATTTACTTCATTAGGCAATTGGTCAGTTACAGAATTGAGCATTTACCACACCATGAAACCACCCGATCAATCCATCTCTGCTAGATTTTATTGATCAAGATGAGCAAGTGTCCAAATTTCATACACACTGATTGAAGTGTCTTATTCACATTATCAAATATAGAAACTGCAATTGATTCCAAGAAAATTGACCAGATGTGATAAGATTCTGATAATTGCAGTGACAAGTTCTGAACAAAGATTGAATTTTCTCTTTAGCATGACTAGGAATTGTATCATAGCAGGCAACTGAGAAGTCTGTTCATGGTATGTCTCAACCTAATTCAAACAGGCTTCTCATCACTCGGAATAACTTCTGGGATACAATAGCAGAGAGGTAACAAGATCATTATTGTTTTGCAGTGAAGATCCCTATTGATTTTCAGTCATACTCTCTGAGATGTGCTGTGTACTCTAGCTATTGTTGAACCTATTTCATTATAATAAGTTGTAAAGTCAGAACTTCTAATATCGATAGCAGAAATTATATTTTATATGTCGTTTTATCTTCTGAAGATTTTTATATTTTCCTAAGATCAACTATTTGTTGTCATTTTTATGTCTATTTAGGATAGATGAGCAGATACAAAGTTTTTTGGAAGATACAGAACCTGAGAGCATATTGGAAGTTGGAGCTGATATGCGGAAGATCAAATACTGCTTCCGTTATTTAAAGGTATGCTTCACTGGCTATCCATTATAGAGGTCACTTAGTATGTATGCCCTAAATATTCCTAGGACAGGGAAAGAGGGAAACCCAAAATCAGAAATAAAAAAATATCTGAATTTCTTAGTGTGGTGCTAATTTTTTTGCAGAAAAATGAAATTTTTGTTTACATATTGCATTCAATAATTTTTCAGTTGTCCAACAGAGGCGAATTTAAATATGAAATCCCCCAATAGTTTATTAAGCCAGAAATTAGAACTATGTTGATTCATTCCTCCCTGCTCTTCCCTTTCCAAAAAGGCTTTTGTCATTTAAATGAACAAGTTTTCATTGCAACCAATTCAGTTTACTAACCAAGATGTGAAACTGCAGTTTAGGGTTAAGTCTTTCAGGGCCAGCAACCTTATCTATAAGAATTGTTGCAGTCTGATAAAGGTGAAAAAAACAACAACTATAAGTATAGAGGAAGAAGGCTCCATTGTTATCTGCTGCAATGTGTCTGCAATTGCTTGACTTCTTGACAGAAAACCTCACATGTGGCCAGTGCAAACTGGTTGCTCTCTTGGAAGAAGGAGGCTAACACACTGCCCTTATGTGCTGAGACTTCAGCACATTATAGAATGATGAGTTCCTTTATAAAACAGAGAGGGAATTGATGATCCTACAGAACCAACAGGAAGAAGCATCCAGTGAAAATGAGAACATTCCCTGGGGGAGAGTAACTGTCGAGCAGGTCATGCACAAGGGTTATGGACAGCTTGAACTGAGCAATTGTTGCCTTCATCTTCCAGAGGATAATGATGGTTAAGATGCACAAGCAGGAGACCAGCAACAAGAGACATTACATGCCAGCAAAGAAGCCAACCTAACCATCAACTGCAGCAAGAAGAAAATAAAGTAGGGGATTAATTGTTCCAGAGTATGAGGAATTGTGTAGCAACTAGACAAGGTGAATTGGGAACTGTGTTCTCCTTGTGCATGTATCCAGAATGCCCCTGACAAGTTTTCAAAGCACATGAAACACAAAAAAATGTCCCTTCTGATTCATGTGAGCAATAGCAGCACTGCAAAGAACACTTTTAAGCAACTGATCTTGCACTGGGAAGTCCTGGGAAGGAAAGTAAACTTGATGAGGTAGGGAAATACAAAACAGCATGTATAAAGATTGACAGGAAGGATTAATCACCAAGGAAGAATACAGATGTGTATCCGAAACATGCAGGAATAATGTATGGATATCTAAAGCTCAAAATGATCTGAGGAGCAAAAAGAAGAGTTTTCTTTCAGATATGTTTGAAGCAAGAGAGTGATGAAGAAAATGGTGGTTATTAAGCAAGGCTGGTAAAATGCTAACAGATCATAATGGAAAGACAAAATGACTCAATACCTGGCTTGCTTCATGCCCCCCACCCCCACCCAAGCGGATTATGTGATTCCATGTATCAGCAGATACCTAACTAAAGAGTCCAGGTTGCAAATTAAGATGGATAAGGATTTAGTCAGAAATCATCTAGTTAACCTAAATTAATTCAAATTGATAAGGTCAGAAGAACTGTGTCCCAAGATATTCTTCTCATCAGGTTTTCCCAACATTTAAAAAAATACATTTTGACAATTTTAACATTTTGACAATTTTTAGAAATGCCCTCATTTCTGCTCTTAGGCATAACTCTAGCATAATTTGCCTAATCGTAGACTGACTCACCTGTTCTCCAAAATTTGTGAAAATTGGTGGCATGTGGTTCTGTGAAAATTGGTGGCACGTGGTTCTGTGACTCTGGCAAGCTAGTTCCTTTAGTAGGATTTTGTGGAGAATAAGTCTCAGGTTGAATCTACACCTACGTATTCAGTGTTCCCTCTCTACTTCAGGAGAAAGCCAGCCAATCATTAAGAAAGAGAGAGCGGAGATACAAAGCAGGATGTAAATCACATCTCCTTTTATATATATATATATATATATATATATATATATATATATATATGATCCCTACTTCGCGAGTTTTCAATTTTCGCAGGCGGTCCTGGAATGTAACACCTGCGATAAGTGAGGGAACACTGTAATGCAGTTTCAGAAAGTGGATTAACTGCATTGAACTGGATTACATTGAGCAACTATATTCTTGAGAGGCAGGTAGCAGTAAGTAATGGCTTATTGTAAAGAATGACATGATAGAAACAAAGGGGAGATGACATTAGCAGAAGCATTCTAAATACATCAGAGAAAATGGCTGGGGGATCAGTAACAACAATTTTTTTCTTTACTGAGACTAAATGAGTGTGCATAATTTACTTTGTTTGTTGAAAAATAATGAAAATGGGGAAAGATTAACAATCTGATAAATCAGAATTGTTTTTGTTCTGTTTGACAGAGATTGACTAATGAGGTGAAGGTTCCGAACAACCATCTCCATGCACCAAATATTCTTGAAGAGAAAAATCCTAATAATTCAATTGGGGATGAAGAGGTAAAGAAATTGAGGGATCTTCTGCAGCAACGAGACAATGAAATTAGTATCCTTCCTGAAATAAGGTTAATTAAAATTTGAGTTCATTTGTAATACTTGTTGTCCAGTTAAAGGCTATCTTTATATTAATATGATATATAACACAATGTTTTGTTGTACCGTAAAGTTTTAAGAAATTTTTGATTGAAGCCCATTTCATCAGATGCACCTGACAACATTAGAGGATGTGGTTTACACTAAATAAACACGATTAGTGTTTGAGATGCCATAAGTCAATTCTGCTGCAATATACTAATATCTGTCTCCTGACAAAGATGTTCATATGAATTATTATGGTTTAATTTAAATATTGCTACACCTTTTTATCAAACTTTCTTCATTGAACAATGTCCACTATTATCTTCTGATTCTGTAACACATAGCTTAATCTATTGTATGGAAAAGCTTTAGTGCTTTGTTTCATTTGGTCCCTGATCCAGCTTTCTGGGAAGTTTATTGGAGGAAGGTTTTTTTTAAGTAATGGAAAATACTGCTGCTATATAAAGAACTATTTATTACCTTTAAAAGTTGAATTTCCTGTAATTGTTATTTTTAGCCCCATGAAATGTTGCTAGACTGTGTATTTAGAGTAAATTGAAGTTTATATTAAACCTGATATTCCATACAATGCATGTAAAATGTAGGTTTTTGGATTGTACTGCCCATTTTAGTAATTTACCGAAAATATATACATAGTTCAGATATCAAAACCAGAATTCTATTAGATGTTTGCAACTAATAAAATTTCATCTGAAATTAGGAATTCTTTACAATTCAATTAGTATTACATTAAGCACATTTACTCTCTTCAACAGCTACATATGTTATAAAGCAGGGGGAGATACTGAGACTCTCCAGATGTTGGACTGCAGTTTCTAGCAGTCCTAACTGTTATACGAAATGGTGAGGAATACTGGAAAGTGACGTTCAAAGAATCTAAAGAGTTCACATAGCTAAAATTACTTGTTGCTTCCTTCAAGAAGGAAAGTAGTGACAAATTATATTCTAAGAGCATGTGACTGTAAAATGTAATGCCCAAACTAAATTTTAAAGCCTAAACATGCAGAGATTTTGATGGAAAGAACTACATCTATTGTATTTTAAAAAGATTTTTATGAGTTATCCAAGAATTTTGCTATGTGGGGAATGTGTTGTTAGCAAGAGTAATACAATTTGTTACCTTCTATTTACACTTCCTCCAGCAAAGGATCACCGCCTTGTCGGGGCGCTGGAGCTTGAGCACCTCAATGATGTCATGAGCGAAACCGTGAAGGGCCACTCAAGACGGGACGGTTGTGGCAGAGAGGTCAGACCAAGCGTGATCCCTGGGGAAGGCAATGGCAAACCACTCCAGTATCCTTGCCAAGAAAACTAAATGGACCAGTACAACCAGAGATATGTCGGTATGCCATTGGAAGATGGGACTCCCAGGTCGGAAGATGGCCAAAATGCTACTGGGGAGGAGCAGAGGATAAGTTCAACTAGCCCCAGATGTGATGACGCAGCTAGCTCAAAGCCGAAAGGAAGGCTAGCGGACGACGGTACTGGAGGTGAACGACGAATCCGATGCTCTAAAGATCAACACACCATAGGAACCTGGAATGTAAGATCTATGAGCCAGGGCAAATTGGATGTTGTTATTGGTGAGATGTCAAGACTAAAGATAGACATTCTGGGGGTCAGCGAACTGAAATGGACTGGAATGGGCCACTTCACATCAGATGACCACCAGATCTACTACTGCGGACAAGAGTAACATCGAAGAAATGGAGTAGCCTTCATAATTAATAAGAAATTCGCTAAAGCGGTGCTTGGATACAACCCAAAAAATGACAGAATGATCTCAATTCGAGTGCAAGGAAAGCCTTTCAACATTACAGTGATCCAAATATATGCCCAACCACAGCTGCTGAAGAAGCAGAAGTAGATCAGTTCTATGAGGATCTGCAGGACCTACTGGATAATACACCAAAAAGAGACATTATTTTCATTACAGGAGACTGGAATGCCAAGGTGGGAAGTCAAATGACAACTGGGATCACAGGCAAGCATGGTCTGGGAGAACAAAATGAAGCGGGACGCAGGCTGATAGAATTTTGCCAGGAAAACTCGCTGTGTATAACGAATACTCTCTTCCAACAACCTAAAAGACGGCTTTATACATGGACCTCACCAGATGGTCAACACCGAAATCAGATTGACTACATCCTTTGCAGCCAAAGGTGGCGAACATCCATCCAGTCGGTGAAAACAAGACCTGGGGCTGACTGTAGCTCAGATCACGAACTTCTTATTGCTCAATTTAGAATAAAACTAAAGAGATCAGGGAAAATACACAGACAAGTTAGATATGATCTCACTAACATTCCTAGCGAATATACAGTGGAAGTGAAGAACAGATTTGAAGGACTAGATTTAGTAAACAGAGTCCCAGAAGAACTATGGACAGAAGTCCGCGACATTGTTCAGGAGGCGGCAACAAAGTACGTCCCAAAGAAAAAGAAAACCAAGAAGGCAAAATGGTTGTCTGCTGAGACACTGGAAGTAGCCCAAGAAAGGAGCAAAGCAAAAGGAAACAGGGATAAGGGGAGATATGCCCAGTTAAATGCGCAATTCCAGAGGTTAGCCAGAAGAGATAAGGAACTATTTTTAAATAAGCAATGCATGGAAGTGGAAGAAGACCACAGAATAGGAAGGACAAGAGACCTCTTCCAGAAAATTAGAAACATTGGAGGTAAATTTCAGGCAAAAATTGGTATGATAAGAAACAAAGATGGCAGGGACCTAACAGAAGCTGAAGAGATCAAGAGAAGGTGGCGAGCCTATACAGAAGATCTGTATAGGAAGGATAATAATATTGAGGATAGTTTTGACGGTGTGGTGAATGAATTAGAACCAGACATCCTGAGGAGTGAGGTTGAATGGGCCTTAAGAAGCATTGCTAACAACAAGGCAGCAGGAGACAACGGGATCCCAGCTGAACTGTTTAAAATCTTAAAAGATGATGCTGTCAAGGTGATGCATGCCATTTGCCAGCAAATATGGAAAACACAAGAATGGCCATCAGACTGGAAAAAATCAACTTATATCCCCATACCAAAAAAGGGAAATGCGAAAGACTGCTCAAACTTCCGTACAGTGGCCCTTATTTCTCATGCCAGTAAGGTAATGCTCAAGATCCTGCAAGGAGGACTCCAGCAATACATGGAGCGAGAGTTGCCAGATGTTCAAGCTGGGTTTAGAAAAGGCAGAGGAACGAGAGACCAGATTGCCAATATCCGCTGGATAATGGAGAAAGGCAGGGAGTTTCAGAAAAACATCTACTTCTGCTTCATTGACTATTCTAAAGCCTTTGACTGTGTGGATCATAATAAATTGTGGCAAGTTCTTAGTGGGATGGGCATCCCAAGCCACCTTGCCTCTCTCCTGAGGAATCTGTACAAGGACCAAGTAGCAACAGTCAGAACTGACCACGGAACAACAGACTGGTTCAAGATTGGGAAAGGCGTACGGCAAGGCTGCATACTCTCACCCAAATTCAACTTGTATGCAGAACACATCATGCGATGTGCGGGGCTTGATGAATGCAAGGCTGGGGTAAAAATTGCTGAAAGAAACATTAACAACCTTAGATATGCAGATGATACCACTTTGATGGCCGAAAGCGAGGAGGAGCTGAGGAGCCTTCTAATCAAGGTGAAAGAAGAAAGCGCAAAAGCCGGGTTGCAGCTAAACGTCAAAAAAACCAAGATTATGGCAACAAGAATGATTGACAACTGGAAAATAGAGGGAGAAACCGTGGAGGCCGTGACAGACTTTGTATTTCTAGGGGCAAAGATTACTGCAGATGCAGACTGTAGCCAGGAAATCAGAAGACGCTTACTTCTTGGGAGGAGAGCAATGTCCAGTCTCGATAAAAAAGTGAAGAGTAGAGACATCAGACTGACAACAAAGATCCGCCTAGTCAAAGCCATGGTATTCCCTGTAGTCACCTACGGATGTGAGAGCTGGACCTTAGGGAAGGCTGAGCGAAGGAAGATCGATGCTTTTGAGCTGTGGTGTTGGAGGAAAGTTCTGAGAGTGCCTTGGACTGCGAGAAAATCCAACCAGTCTATCCTCCAGGAAATAAAGCCCGGCTGCTCACTGGAGGGAAGGATACTAGAGACAAAGTTGAAGTACTTTGGCCACATCATGAGGAGACAGCAAAGCCTAGAGAAGACAATTATGCTGGGGAAAGTGGAAGGCAAAAGGAAGAGGGGCCGACCAAGGGCAAGATGGATGGATGGCATCCTTGAAGTGACTGGACTGACCTTGCGGGAGCTGGGGGTGGTAACGGCCGACAGGGAGCTCTGGCGTGGGCTGGTCCATGAGGTCACGAAGAGTCGGAGACGACTGAACGAATGAACAACAACATTTACACTTTGTAAACCTTCCAATTTTGTGTGCTGAAAATCCAAGCCTAAGAATGGAAAATGGGATGTTGCTGGACAGCAGAAAAGATTTAAAGATGGGCTTAATCCTATCCTTTAAAAAATTGAAATAAACACAGAGAACTGGGGATCCCTGACCCTTAATTAAGCATTCTAACTGGAGGTCAGCTGTTACCAACAGTGTTCGTGGCCCTTTTGCAATGTCCCAAAAATCATTCTCATTACTTTTGGGACAGGTCATGTATGTTTCATGTTGGAGAGCAGCCCTGTACAGCCCCCCACCCAGTGTGTGGCTTTGTGGGATCCTCAGAGCCTTTCTACAGGTGATTTTCTCAAAAACCCTTCAAGTAATATGTTGCTTCCAAGAGGCATGCAAAGCTAAACATTTAAGAAATAGAGGGGTCTAAATATACATGACCTTTAGCAGGAAGTGACTGATCAAACCTACGTAAACAGGCCAGCAGGGCTCTCCAATCTGTAGGGCTGAGTAGGATCTTAGCCTGAGTTTGCCAACATTTTTTACTCCTCTTGGAAGTCTTTTAAGTTGTACATATTAAGCAAAAGCAATTTAGCAAAGTAGCTCTTCATGCTCACAAGAATATCAAACTTGAAGGCTAGCAGTGTTCAGCTTGTAAAATGTTATGATGTAGTTCATTTTAAATCAAACCAAGCTGCAAAGTACAGTCATATTCCGGTTTAAGTCATAAATGTAGTGCTTTATTCTTCTTTTTAGCTGTTGATTCTGCCTTTTAATGATACAGACATATATTCCAACATTTGCTTCCTAAAGCGCATTCACTACTACTAACTTGTGTTGCTTCTAATATAAATTAATCTGTATAGAAAAAGCATGGAGAATTTGTGCAGCTTGGTGGCCACTGTAATTTAATATCCTGAATTGTAGTATTCATCTATGCACCTCCAGAAAAAGGTGACTGGACTGAAATAATAAATATAATAAAACTTTATTTATACCCCGCCACCATCTCCCCAAGGGGACTTGGAGTGGCTTACATGAGGCCAAGCCCAACAACACATCAGTAAACAAAAAGCAGCAAGCAAATAAAACAGTACAATTAATGTAACTCACATATAAGCAATAACACACAAAAATTTAAAAGCCTTATGGCCGGGCCAGATGTAATAGATTAAAATTTTAAAATACACACTGGGCATGAACAGTGATAGGATGTATCTAAGCAGGAGGGTTTTAAAAGATAATGTAGGGAGAGCAACCCAACGGGTAGTTAAAGTGCTTCTGAGGACATTTTGCAGGGAATTGATCAGAGCAGGCCATTGTTTCCTTTATTCAGGGAAGGCACACTGGAACAGCCATGTTTTCAGGCTCCTCCTAAAGACTGCCAATGGGGGGGCTTGTCTGATATCCTTGTGGAGTGAGTTCCAGAGTTGGGAACTCACGTGCCACCATAGAGAAGGCCATTTCCCTTGTCCCCACCAATTGTGCCTGCGAAGGGGGCAGGAGCGAAACCAGGGCCTCTCCAGATGATAAAAGAGATCACGTGGGTTTGTAAATAGAAATGCGATCATGTAAATAGAAATGACAAGAAGAAAATATTAGTGCATGGCACAAGGATAGTACAGCTGAAATCCTTTTTGATAACTTATCCTAATATTATGCCTACAGATTTTCTTTAGAACCGAACATTTCAGGAGCCAGCAGAATAGCTGTATCACCAGACCTGAGACTGCTGTGCGTCCATCCCATTGACCATTGAAATTCTCTTGTCCCTCCTCTATCTGTGCAGGTAGTCACCTCTGCCAACAAGATCTTGCGCTATGTATACAGAACTTGTAACTAAGTAGTGGACAGATCAATGAATTCCAGCTAAACTTTTGGTATCAGAAATGGAGAACACTCATAAATTTTTCATACTCATATGCAGCTTGATGTAACCAGAATGATTATCTCTCAGAGATTCATTCAGTCTGGCATTTTTATTATGAGATTGAGTTTCAATAGCCCAAATGGCTACAAGAAGGGGGGCAGATTTTTATTTTTTTTAGTTTTGTGTAATTTGTTTTTTTGGTTGGTTTTTTTTTGTGTTTCTCTTTTGTCCTTCCTAGCCTAGTTGTTCTAGGAAACTGTCATATTTGTAGAATGTAGATTGATCATAATAAAGCTGTTACCCCCAACTGTGAATTTTGTATGTGCTCAAGGCCAACATAGCTGTGTTGTATTTTTATGTGCTACAGTATATTCATATTTTTGTGTTTATAGGTTATGAAATTTAACACCTGGTGCCTTGTTTGCCATTTCTGTGGTTTTGGTCAATGAGTAGATTTGTAAATGAGTTAGCATTTCTGTCTATGAGTCAGAGTGGTATACTCTACACATACTGTATGAGTGTAAAATATTTGTGGTATCTAACACAATACAAAATACCTTACTATTCAGCCTAGTATCTAGCTAAAGAGTGAATTTGGTTGGGATTAGTAAACTACTAGGATGGAGCATGCTGGTAAATTTTGAAAGTAGAGTAGGTATAATTAAATGAATATATATAAATGTGTGTGTGTGTGTGTGTGTGTGTCGATTATTTTAACAAAATACTTTGTTGCCATTATCACAAAATCACTTGATGAATTTTCCTTAAAATGAATTTTAGACATTTTGATAAATATGTTAAAGAGGGAAAAAAAGAAAGCTCAAGATGCTTTTCTTCAATTCAGTGCTCTAAGCAAGGATATCCCACCCTCAGAAAGTTCTAGTCTTTTGAAAAATATGGAAAATGATCAAATGACTTCTGCCACTTTGGAAACTAAATCTGTCTTCCTTCCCAGGAGAACAGGTTAGCAACTTTATGTGTATTCTTCAATTGTGATTTTAGACTTCCTTGTATTTTCTAAATTACATAGCATCTTGAATTATTATTTCTGGAAATATGTGAAGTGTTCATAGTGGCAAATGCCTTAGTTACATTTTGTTTGGACTACTTTAACATGGTATATACCATGCTGTTTTTTGAAAAGTATTTGGAAACATACTGGTCCAGAATGTTGTAGCCAAATGATAAAACCAATATGATTTGAGACCAAGCTATTTGAAATGGTGTATTCTTTTTTATGAGCTTTAAGATTTGTTGGGATATTCCTGCTTTTGGTCTCCCAATCCCTAGTGGCACATTTGGTAGGGCTGTGGGAGTGACCTTTTTCAGTAGTAGATTCTAGGATTTGGGTAGCCTTCTGAGTCAGGCTAGGTTTTCTTCCCTCCTTTGGCATTTAACCTGGGTTGCTGTTGGAGAAGTTTAAAGTGTGTGTTTAAATTTTTTATATTTATTATTTTTAAAAGAATTTTATTAAGGTTAGTTACTTTTGCAAAAGGTGGAATATCAATTTGCATAAACACAGGCATAATATTTTAGTGCAGTATAATGTAATAGCAGTGCTGTATGTGCTATAGTGGAAGATAGCAAATTTAGATAAATTCAAATTTTCTTTAAAACAAAGAACAGAAACTGAAAATCCATGAATACTATTTAATGTTATTTGTAAAAAAAGCAAGTACTATGTTTTAAGCAAGAAACAAGCCATAAAGTACTGTTTTCATAGTTTAAAAACATGTATGTATGTATGTATCTGTGTGGGTATATATAGAGAGAGAGGGAGAGAGAGAGAGAGAATTAAAGAACAGTAAAAAAAGATGACAATTTGGTAAAGAATTTCTTAAGGTAGATATATTTGAACAGTCTGTTAAGCCAGATAAATTTTAAAAAAGGCCTTCTCTTGTTTTAAGTAATAGGAAAGCCTGCATACTAAATAGCAGTACTGAGAAAAGACTTTGCTGTTCCCTTTAAAATAGCAGTGGTCTTAGTGTGCTTTTATTATTTACTGTGAATCTTGAAAGCGATTCAGTTCTCCAGAGATCACCACATGATTCACTGTATCACTTAAAATGAAATAAAATAATGACATTGAACTCCAATTGTATTCATTCAAAAACAAAAACAAAAAACATGCAGGTATTTGCCATAAATCCTGTTGGCTGGAATCCAGTTGGGGATTTACACCTTCACAAGTGGATTTATATCTGCAGGAACCAATGCACAATTGGTTCTTTGTACTTGTGCATCAGTTCTTTTGTGCACTGGGACACCAAGAAGGAGTGCTGATGTGCATCAGGACACTCTTACTGGTGTCCCATTATGCATTTTTGTAATTCATTAATAGGTTTCTCTGGTGCCTCTATGTAACTAATTATATGTAAAGTACCCAATGTAGACTGTGGATTTTATCAATTTTTTTAAAGTGCCATCAGATATTAGAAAAGAAGATAATGTTCTGTTTTCAAATTATCAAAAATATACTGGATAGTGAAATATCGCGAGAGGTAGAAGAAATCCAGGAAGAAGAGAAAAGTGACTAACAGGAAGAAGGGTATAATAGAGGGGAGATCTGCGTAGGTGATTAAAAGGCCCACACCCAGGAGGTAAGGTAAAGAAATTGGACTATAAGGAAAAGAACATATATGATAGAGGGGCTGGGCATTAAGGGGTGGAAGGAAAGACAAGATAATACAATGGCAACAAGCAAGCTGAAAGCAGAGAAAGGATCAAAAGATAATAAAGGAAATACAAGGAGAATGTCAGCAACAGAAGAGGTAAACTTAAAAGAAATGATGAAGGAGATGATGACGGAAGTTTTGACGGAAATACAGACAATGAAAACGGAGATTCAGACAATTAAGGAAAGACAAGATATATATCAGAAAATTGCCCAAGTCCAGATGTCGGAACTCAAAAAAGACATAAGAGAGGAAATAGGCAAAATAAGAACGGAGGTTTCAACAATGCAACTGGAAATGACTGAGATAAAGAAGGAAGAAAAAAGCATAAAGAAAGGACAAGGAGAAATGCAAACAAAACTGAGGAATATAGAAATGAGAAGCAGCAGGTTGGAGACAAAACAGGAGGAACTGGAAGCCAAAGAGATGGAATTTCAATTAAGAATAAGGAACATCCAAGAAGATACAAATGAGAATATAAAAGACAAGGTAATAGAGATACTGGCTGAACTAGTGGAATGTACTACACAGGAAATGCTGGAACGGACAGACAGGATCTATAGGATCAATACGAATTTTGCAAAAAGGAATAAAACACCACGTGATGTAATAGTGAACTTTGTAAAGAAGACAACAAGAGATGAGGTGTTGGGATGGAATAATCGAAGAAAAATATGTTATAAAGGAAAGAAAATTATCATACTAAAAGAATTTCCAGGAATTGTGTTGAAAAGAAGGAGAAAATACACACTGCTGACAGAAGAACTAAAGAAACAGAGGATTCGTTTTAGATGGGAAAGGGACGAAGGTCTTATGCTAACTTATAAAGATCAACGTTACTGGATTAAGACGGAAGAAAGGGCGAAGGAGTTTCTAAATAGAATTACAGCAGAAAGGGAAAGGGAGAATGACGAACATGCAAAGGGAAGAACAAAGAAGAAAAAACGTACAGACTCACCAGAGGAGGAGGAGATTGAAAAGGAGGAGATGAGAAGATACTCTGAAGAAGGAGAGGGAGCTTTGGTATTAAGTGACCTGGAAGAGGAGGGAAGTGAGGAGGAGGTCGAGGAAGAAGAGGAGAGACAAGAAGAAAGAGAAGAGGAACCGGAAGAGGAAGAACAGACAAGAGGAGGAAAGGAGGAAGAAAAAACAGTATGTTAAGTGAATTGAAAATATATACGAATAATGTAAATGGGATGAACTCCCCAAACAAAAGGAATAAAATATATAAGGCATTAAAGAAAAAGAGATATCATGTCATTGCACTACAGGAAACCCATATTATGAGCAGGCACACAAAATACTTAGAAAATAAAAAATTGGGACAGTACTTTTATGCAGCTATACAGGAAAAAAAAAGAGGTTTAGTAACATACATAGATAAAAATATAACTGCTGAACTGGCCTTTAAAGATGAGGAAGGAAGGTTCTTAGGGGTAAATATTTGGATAAACAATATAAAATTATTAATCTGTAATATATATGCGCCAAATAGTGCCAAGTCGAGATTCGTTGAAAGGTTGAGGAAGAGTATTGATGAACAAACTTTTGACCAGATGATAATGTTAGGAGATTTTAATGGCGTACTAAATAGGGGGATAGATAGAAGTGCAAAAAAGAAAGATGGAAAGAAGAATAAAGAAGAAAAGGGGGACCTCCCAAGATCAATGATAAAGATGATGAAAGAGCTCTATCTGGTAGACATCTGGAGGAATAGAAATGAAGGGGTAAGAGATTACACTTATTATTCGGCGAGGTATGGTAATTGGTCAAGAATTGATATGATATGGTTAACATCCTCTCTTCAAATTAACGTTTCAAAAATAGAAATATTACCAAGGATTTATTCGGACCACTGCGCTCTTGAAATGGAAATTTTAATAATGGAAAAAATAAGAAGATGGCGATTGGATGACAATTTGTTAAAAAAGGAGGAAGATATAGAAAGAAATAGAATATTGTTAAAAGAATATTTTGAAATGAATGATGGACCAGAAATCTCAGTTTGTACATTATGGGAGGCCAGCAAGGCAGTTATGCGAGGAAACTTTATTCAACAAAAAAGTAGAAAAAATAGGGAAAAAAGGAATAGGATGAAAGAGATAATGCAAGCTATTGAAGAAGAGGAAGGAAAAGCAAAAGCAAATCCACAAGATAAAGACATAAAACAGAATTTAGAACAGTTACATAAACAAAGAGATTTTCTTGAGATGGAGGAGAGGGAGAAAGAACTCAAGTTTATAAAGCAGAACCACTTTATGAATGCGAACAAACCGGGGCGCTGGTTGGCGAATAAAATCAGAAGCAGAAGGGAAGCGACATTTATCACCAAATTAAAAGTCAATGATAAAATCATAAAGGAGGAAGAGAAGATTAGGGAACAATTTTATGAGTTCTATAAAAAATTATATCAAGAAGAAAATATAGGAGAGGATGAAATTTACCAATACCTAACAAGCCACAAGATACAAAGGATAACAGAGGAACAGAGAGAAAAATTGAACAAAGAAATTACAGAAAAAGAAATAAAGGAAGCGATAAATAAATTAAAACCAAACAAAGCTCCAGGCCCAGACGGGCTCACATCAATCTATTACAAGACTTTTCAGGAGGAGTTATTACCATATCTTAAAGAGTTGATGAACAGGACCCGAATTTATAAAGAAATCCCAGAATCTTGGACCAAAGCGAACATATGCTTAATTCATAAAGAAAATACAGAGGATGATCAAGTTAAGAATTACAGACCAATTTCGTTGTTAAACGTTGATTACAAAATATTCAGCTTAATTATGGCAGAAAGATTAAAAGGATTATTAGATGAATATATAAAAGAAGAACAGACAGGTTTTTTATCGAACAGATATCAGAGCGAAAATGTTAGGACAATTGTAGACCTGATAGAATACTATGAAAATAAACATCAAAATAAAGTACTTTTATTGGCACTAGACGCGGAAAAAGCGTTTGACAACGTGAATTGGAAATTCTTAAAAATTATAATGAAAGAAATGGATTTGGGATTCTACTTTCAAAATGCAATTGAAGCAATCTATGAAAAACAAGAGGCTAAAGTATTGGTAAATGGGAGGGAAACAGACAGTATTGACATAAAGAAGGGGACGAGACAGGGTTGCCCCCTGTCACCTCTTATCTTCATACTCACCTTAGAAGTACTGCTAAATAAAATCAGAGAAGAAAAGAAACTGGTAGGTGCAAAGATACAAGGGCAAGAATATAAGTTTCGGGCTTATGCAGATGATGTGATATGTGTAATTGAGGACCCCA